AACTGGAATGGCTGTAATGGGACTTTATTTGGCCCTTTTCAGAGGGACTCACTGGGATAACTGTGCTTGTTAATAAATAAGCACTGAAATTTTGAGGACTTCTCTTTGGGGGTGTTGTGGGGCTCCAGTACAGGATGATAGGGAAGGACATTCCTAAGTAATTCAGCTAACATGAGCCTCTGGTTATTTTCTTCCTGACTCTCCTATGGAGACAGAGGACATCCCACAAGGTGGCTGAGAACAACATCCTGATCTGCCCATACCCCAGCTTGAACTTCATGTAGATCCAGTAACTGCCTTCAAATCCCAGTGCATCCAGCTTGACGGAATCCGAATGTAGACTCTATGACCATTAATTCACACAAAGTTATGCAAGAAAATTTTACACGCGAGGTTAACAGCACATGTACGACACAGAAAACTTCCCCAAATGTTACAGGGGTTTAAAATGTCATAAATAAAAGATTCCAAAGTTTTTTTAATTATTAGATTTCCAAAGCTGTTTTACATAATTCCCTGTATAATCCAATCTTAAACTCAGAAGACACTCATGCAGATGACATTTCCTCTCTGTTTTGAATAGGGATTATTTTTTAAGAGGATACAGAACCTGGAAGTATTTCAATAGGTCTGATATTTAAAGCATATTTAATGGCATTTATGTTTTAATCTTCTTACCTACTAAACTTTAAAGAGAGCTGCAAGGAATTCAACAGTGAAAAAAATAATTAGACATTAGTTAGTAACATAAAATGCATAGGCAATGGGTCAGTTGATTCATGAACAGGACGTGAACAGGACATAAACAGGAATGGCTGTCAGGGCAACACTGCCTACCATGCTTTCCACCCTCCAACAGTCACACTGCTCACATCCTCTTAACATCCTGAAAGTGTCCAACTGCTCACAGACTTCGGCTACACTGCTGGCAACAGGATGATCTGAAAGCAATGACCCAAATTCACCAGGTTCCTTATAGATGAGCAGATCAGAGGAATCTTTGCCAGCAAGAGAGGACAGGGGCAAATGAATAATTCTCGTAAGTCATTTTGCGTTTTCCAGCCAACACAGCACCATCTGAGACCTCTCGTGGGAAGACTACTCACCTTAAGCAAATCTCACAGAAAATTATACAAAGAAAACCTTTGTTGATTTTCTGAACTTTAGAGTTTTAGAAACAAAGTCTTATTTTGATCATACACATTCAGCTCTGCTGCCTTAAGGCTGTTACAAGTTGAGTGGCAATGAGTTACACCTTGTGCTGATGCTTGTCTCCCTAAAATTCACACATACTCATTTGCTGTTTCAGACCTGGAAGAGCCTGCAGACAACTGCCTGCTTGTTTTTCTTCTCACACTCTGCCTAACCCCAGGAGCAAGGAGCTACTTCATTAGGAGTAAAGGTATTAATTAGCAGTGAACCTGTTTAACCCACATGCTCTTTCATGCGGCTTCATAACGAATTCCAAACAACCCTGAGTTGTAACATGACTACTATTTTCTCATATTAGAGCAGATACTCATTCTCTTGAAATCAGAGGCAGAGGTCTAGCAAACACCTCTTTCCAAGGGGCCCATAGATTGGAGCCTGCTGAAGTTTCCCCACGGCAGGATGGGTGTATTCACACATGAGAGTGACTAGGTATGGCACTCCTGCAGCATTCTTTCAGCTTTCTGACACTGTGCCCTAAGCCAGCTTCAAAAGGTGAAAGGAGTAAAGGAGTAGCGATAAACTGTGAATAAACACTGTTTACTTTGTTTCCAGTTTCTCATAAAGAAGCACTTACATGAGTGAGTCTTGTTAAATTCAGAAGTTTCTAGAGCCACCGCCCAACACATGTTCCCTCCATGCAGAGTGTTGTGCCTGCCGGTGGCTGGGTGCACAGTGCCGGTGGCAGTGCTGGTGGCAGTGCTGGTGGCAGTGAGTGGCATGGCTGGTTAGGAGGCCCAGGAAGATCTTTGTTGAGTTGCAGCTTTTTAATCCCTGTAGTATCAGCCATGGCTGATTAGTTACTTATTTCACTGAGCAGGACCCAGCATGGTCATAGTGGGCACCAGCTTTAATCTCTCTAGTTAAGGATCAGAACTCACGTGTGGTTGTCTGAGGAGTCACCTCAGGCCAACAATCATAAAACACACATTAGAAAAGACACATTTCAAAGATTTGGATGCATAGTTATTTCTACATTAAAAGAACCAATTTTGCAAAACCTCCCTGTGTGGCCCAGACAAATTGATGTGATTACTTTCAGCTATCAGTGGGAACAAATAGGTCTTATGCAACTTAAGCACAATAAGCCTGGCCATTATTCTATTCTGAAAAATCAAAGATTTCTTGGTGTTACCATTACTATTGCTCTGCTACTTGTGAAAAACAATTCCAACTATCAGGAAATAATTATGAACAAAGTCCAGTTAATTATACAAGACATCTAAGCTGCCCTAATTAAGGATTGGTTCAATACTGTTCACTTGGTAATTTTTTTTTTAATTGTGAATAGATTTAGTAGAAGCCTGGCTGATAAACAAATAATGAGATTGGTGGTCCAGAAGGAATTTGATTAATAAAATTATTCACAAATTATTTATTTCCTCTGGTTTATATTGTTCTTTCTTCTACCTTAGAACAGGAATAGGAGAGGGATTGCACTTACTGGTTTCAATGCCTATGCTCCTTCCTGTCAGAAACACCCTACAATCCTGAGCCTGAGGATTAAAGCTTTATTTATGCAACCATGATAAAACAGGGTAAGAATTCAAAGCCACGCTAAGTCCCTGATGCAGTCACATTCAGGGAGATTCCTGGATCCATAGAAGCCTTATGGACTTTGCTGCAAGTACTCACCTTGCATAAATACAATGTCTATGGAATTTGTGCTCAACCATGAGAAAATGATCAGGGCTGGTAAAAACCAAAATCAACAAGCAACAACATCAATAGATCTGGTTCCACAGTTGATATTTGCCCACCATTTCTTCGGGAGAATTTACATAACTCCTGTTGACCTCCAAGTGTAGTGTCCCAAATCCAGAAATAGGCCACAAACAGGTGAAATCGAGCCCAGCTGCTGCAGCTGCAGAGATCAGACCCTGAAGGTGCCCAGAGCAAGGAGTGGGCTCATGGGCCAGTCAGGCAGGCAGGGCTGGAGGGGGCATGGGAAGGGCACTGGGGGAAGGAGAAAGAGCTTCTGGGTTGAATGTCTGTGGCTGAGTTCCAGCAAATCCTCGTGTATAACCACCACACCAACGATGGATGACTGCATTTTAACAGGAAAACAACTTTACATATGTTTTAAACTACAGTCTGCTAGCCTCGTATTTTAATATGAAACTGAAGCAATTTACTTCCTTTTTAATGGATTACAGAAGGAGCTCAAGCATAATGCCTCTACCCTTGTATGATCAATACTTTTAACACATTCATAAATTATTAATATTCTGCTCACAAAATTAACTACCTCTAAGATGCACAATTGCTCAATACTCAAAAGAAAAAACATTTAAGGAAGTAAAATGTTTCTTTGCATTTTTAGAGGTCTCTAGTAGCTTATTATATAGCAGGAAAGCTACACTGTTTATTATTCAATGTGGTATATTAATTCTAATTTATTTTACAAGTTTTTCTTCCTTCTGTGGCACCACAAAGGGACTAGGCATACAACTGTTTAATCAGTCAAAAGCCCATACCATGAAGACTGTCTCATTGCATTCTTCCTAGAAATGAATCTGTTTTCTAGACGGGAAGGCTTTGGGTAAGAGGAAGGGGCTGAGCTGATTTAGGAGTTGGCATGAGTCAATACTATTCAGGATTAGCCCATGCAACATTAAATAATATCCCAATGCTATCATCACAGTGCTCCTGCTGACATCTCTTCACCAATGCTGTTGATAAGTATCCTAAAGAGGACATGCATCTTCCTGTTAATTAATACCATGTGCTCTATTCACTTAGCTGCATTTCATTAGCTGAATTATAAAATTAGAAAATAATCTTCCAAAATGTGTCTCATTTTTAAAATTCATGTCTCACTTTCTCAATGAAGAGCAAATACAGAGATCTCAAGTCTCTGCCTAGGGATCACAAAATTTTCTTTTTCCAAGTGCTACTCTTTGTTTTCTAGTAAGTCTGACTTAGAATATCTTAGCTAAAAATGGACAATTAGTATCAAACTCTAAAGGCTAAAAATGTCTTTAAACGTTCCAACTAAGGGAGAGCAAATGTGCTCCCATAGAGGGATCAGTGGCTCAGAGCATTGCTTTGTGTCTCGGGGGCTTAAGGAATACTGCAGGCAGTGGAAGGATTACAGGGCTCTCCATCTTGTAGCTCTCTGGGAGCTATACTCATACCCCATTATCCTCAACATAATGAAATTGAATTAGTTTGATAAATGTATTTTAATCTAAAGAAGATGTGAATTATTTGATCAAATATATTCAAGGCAAAGTTTTTATAACAATGCTTAATAAACATGAAATAGCATAGATCATTGTTGGTAAAAAAAACCCCAGAAAACTCCAATTGGTGTTTTACACAGCTGTTCCCAGCCTGAGCAGACTCCTGGCTGATACCAGTGTCTGAGATGTGTTCATAAGCTGTTTGCACTGCATGAGCAGCAACTTCATTTCCATCTTCATCAAGATGTTAACACCTCTGCTGCAGTTACCCTCATTGTAAAGTTTAAAGGAAATTCCTTAGGTATGATGTACAAACTTTCAGCTCTGGAAATAATCCCTCCCATCAAGGCCTATGGCCATGGGAGAGGTACCATTGCTGTGAAGAGAGCTTTCAGTCCATAGGTGTTCCAGCCCAATGCACTGACTTTAAGGGGGGTGGGTGGGTTTTGTTTGGGTCTTGTTTTCTTTTGTGGTGAATTTTTCAACCAGAAGTACCAAAAAGCTCTGAAACTATGAGACCACAGAAACACTTATGAGACCACAAAAGAACTTCCAGATTTTTCCATTACCAACTATAAACCAGCCTTAAGGAGATTCCTTGTTTACCTTTCATGGATCCTTTGAGCTTACCCTTATTTGCTTAGCTTGTGACAATGCTGGGGAATCTTTGAGCAACATCATTTCAAAGGTTCTCTGGCTCTTTACAATCATTTCTGTAAAAAGCATGAATGTATATCTGAAAACAAACGCTGGATTTCAGCAACCTCTTGTGTAGCACAGTAAAATAGCAGGAAGAATAACGTAATTAACCAGACTGACTTCTCCAACTCAAATATGTTACAACCTTCATCACTACAAATTTCAATAGATATTGTGATGTTACAGTGTTTAAACCATATGCATTTCTTTATTCAAAGTCTAGAGGCAGAATAAATAGCTGCCAACACAGCCAGAAAGTCCCGGCAGACTTACAAGCAAGAAATTCTTATCACTAGTGTGAATGCTAAGGAAGTAGCTGTCTTTATACAATTAAAGTTCAAGGTTGCATCTATAATAGGCTTTTCAGCTGTATTTGGAAGTAATTTAAACTGTTACTCACCCATAACCTTGTTAGAGATTCATGGTGTTGAGTATGTAAAGCTGAAGAGACTGAAAGGGTTATAATACATTTACTAAAGGAAGAGAGGCTTGTAGCTAGAGAGAATATTGTGCAGGGAAGCTACAGGGGTTTGGAAAAGCTGCTTTTTGTGAGAGTACATTTCTCTTACAGCATCTGAATTATTCTTAGGAGACAATTTTTTGGAGAGGTATTCATCGTCATTTACCAGTTTTGTAAAGGTATTTCTCTGCCATCCAGACAAGAAATTAACTAATTTAGATGTGGTTAGTATTGGAATGTGTCCTTCTGTTTTGATCCAACTCTGGTAAGGATATGGGAAAAGATTTTCCTTCAGTAACTCCCATAGGTCTTAAAAAAAAAAGAGAAAAAAAAAAAAAAAAGCTGTGATTACCATCTGGTGTTCTCCATAACAGCCTCTGGGGCCAGAAATGCAACAAATTCTTCCAAGCATCTTCAGGAGTTCCTGTGGAACAGTGGTATGATTGGAGTTGTTTTCACTTTGATTACTGGATGTTTCTCACACTGTTCATCCAATACAAAGTGATGTGGGAGCTCTATGCATCAAGATCCCACTCCATTTCAGAAATTACAGAAAAGGAGGTAGAAAACAGAAAAATCAGAAAGAAAAAGGGAAATGCCAGCAGGCTAGCCTAGTCATTTAGAGTGACACAAAGGAAACAAGAAAAGAGAAAGAGGGCATTGAATGGGTAATATTAAGTAATGGCATGATGTCCAAATATTTGCAATGCTGGCTCCCATGCACATGGGCAAGTCATGCTTCCCATTACAGAATAATGGCAGGGCACAACCCCATGATTCAGCTGCACTTCATTCTGGCTCTTTTCACCACTGAAATACTTCTGTGGCTATTCTGCAAATTCCACTGTCCAAGTTTTCACACTTCCAGGAGGGGCTGAAATGGCATCCCTTGAAATTTACAAAATGTCATTTATAAAGTACACCTCACCCTATGCTGCTCTTTTCATTTAGAGAGTCTGAAAAGGGATGGAGTTATTTAAATTCTTAAAGGGATATTCGCACAACATTTTCAAGAAAGTCAAGAATTTCAAAAATCCTGCTACACCCATGTAGGCTTTTCACTGTACCCATCATATGGCTTTTAAGCACTTCCAAAGATCTTGAGTACTTTGTGACTGAGCACAAGGCTCAGTAAGCTTCCTGTATACTTATCTTTTGAAAATAGGAGGTCAAACCTTTTGAGAGTTGATTCTTGGTAAAGAAGCTTCTGTCGCACAAATCATAGACCTGACATAGCCTGTCAGATGCAGGTTCACCAAATGGCCCTTGGGGCTGTGTTCACACTAGTGATATACAATGTTATGAGCACAACTTGGTATTTGATTGCAGCCCTTATTGGCCTGTGAATTTCACCACAAACAGTTGTTTCCATTGTTGGTTTTGTTTTTTTTTTAATAGATATGTATGAGGCTACAGGTTCCTGAATTCATAAATTGTAAACTATATTAAATACACTGAAAATTGACTGATGATGACTGCTACTCTTCTAGGCTAATTTCTCTTCTAAACCATGATATGAAAATTCTGGCTAATGGGCTCGTGACAAGACTAAACAGGGGTAATAGCAGACTTAATCAAGAAAACAAATGGGATTCATTAAAAGCTGGCACTCAGCGGATAATCTTTGGAGAGTTCTAACCTCAATCTACGTGTCCCATCAAAAATGAAGAAAAAAAATCATCAGCTGACTTTATCTTGGGCTGTTGAGCCAATTCAGTGGAAATTCATAATGGAAAAATATTAGACATGTTTCTCTTTTTATTCTCTATCACAGAACTCACAGTAAAACATTAACTAGAATTTTCTTCATGCAGTTGAGAAGACAAATTAGATATAGTTTTCACAACTACCTCTAACAGGTAATTTAAGATAACGTTGCAGTACTATAACCATTTCTTGGCAAATACTAAGATTTTATATATTACATTATATATATATATAAAATACACCTACATATCTTCCATATATATGTATGATATACAAAGCCTATATAGCCTTTATATTTATATGTTACTACAAAACATCCCCACACCTACCCTGCATTGTACACTTTTATAAGCTAAAAGGCTAGAGATGGAAGCCAAATGCTACTCCTAGTTTCAGAAATATTCTCTCTACAATAAACAAAGTCAGTTCCCTAAGTATAACCATCTTCAAAATTCAGTTTTAATTCTGCAGTTCAGCCACCCATAAAAAGGGAGAAAACTTTAAAATTGATTATAACTCCCCTCCAATAGCTTCTATCTTGTTAAAATATGCACAAAATTACCAGATAAACAGCTAACTCTTCTAAGTAAATATCTAAATATTTCTTTAGCCAATATGATATTATCAAAAAAGAAGTAGTAAAATTACTCTTGAATTGCAAGAAATACATGTCCAGCTATGATCTACTTTGAATTTAAGAGCAAGAAAAAAATAAATATGTTTCAGATTTACTTTTTATTCACTTCTCTTAGAAGTGCAAATGCATGGAAACTACTGTCTGACATCTATGTAACCTACCTGAGCTCTCTAGGGGCCAAATGAAAACCTTACTGATGCATCAAAGACTTTTGATGGTTGGGGATTGTTTGTAATTGGTATATGTATTCAATCTGTTTTGTAATTCCCCCACTTTGCAAACACAGTTTATTTGCTCTCATTTGGTTCACTAACACTAAGTTCTGCAAAAGCTTATTTACTCTCAGTACCACCTCCTAATTACTTTAGGGAAGTCATATTGTTTTGTCATTAAGCTATTCTAGCTCTGTTTTGTGCAGGACATATTTTCTGTTAAAGTGTCCAAATTCTTTTCAGGTGGCTGCACCCTTGCAGCATGTGGCCTTACACTGTGTCTAAACTTGCTAAGGCAATTTGAGCATTATCAGTCTGCTAATTAATGTCCTATAATAATTCTGACCTTTAAAAATTGTCTTCTAGCACTGCTGTTTCACAGGCCTGCTGTGTATATACTTTTCCCTTTTTTTCTTGTGAAATTTTTCCACCGACATCATCTGCTCCCAGAGACATCCCAGCTCACTTAAGCATTGCTGACAGAACTTGGAAATAGTCCTGGCTAAAATTTTGAGGTTTGGTTTGAGGGTTGTTTTTTTTTCCTCTGTTTGCTTTGAAGGCTTGATTATCTCAGCTATTCTTGCAGCAAACACTCAGAAAGAGGAGCTTTTGTATTGTGAGACCATGCTGCAAGCTGGCTCCTTGGCGAGCCACATGCACACACAAGCCCTTCCCCAAGTCAGGGGATCCAGATCAAGGGCAAAAAAGGGAATGAAAACCTGAAAGCTGTGGGTGAGCAACAGAGAATCCATGCTTGAGTTCATTTTGTGCACAAGAACTGCTACTAATACCCCCAACTTTCAGGGATGGCCTTGATGCACAGATTCAGGAGACATTTATGGGACACAGAGAGTGCTCCAGCTCTAATAGACAACCCTTCTGCTTCTGCAACCATACATGCAACCCTTCTGTGGATTCTGCTATTGACTGTCTAGCCTTCCCTGATGAATATTAACAATATGGGGGTGGCTGCAAAAGATTCATTACTTAAGAACATAATGAGAAACTTTCTTTGCAGTAGAGTCATTTGGAGGGATACAGATGTGCATGCCACAGGTCATGCTCCTGTAATTACAAAGATATCTGATAACACAACCAGCCTTATTAGAAACCTTTTAATATTTTTGGGATTAATCCAGGAAAGGGAAACAGTGTGCCAAGTCAGAAACCACAGCAACAGTGCTCACTGTGATCCCAGCAGAGGAAAGGCTGTGCTTACACTTCACTTTCCCTTCTCAACAATCATGCTGAAGAAGAGGGTCCAGAATAATAAGCTGCCTTTCTTGGTAGGTTTGTAGGCAGCCTGGGGAAACACATGGACTAGAAGAGTGAAGGGACTTACTGAGGCTGGGAAGAGCTCGTGTCTTGGAGCTGAGGGGTGGCAGCAGACATCAATGCCACTGTGTCAGGGCTGTGCCCTGCGGCACACCCAGAAAGGACCCTGGCCTGTCCCAGCAGGGTAGCAGCAGTGCTGCCCACTGACCAGGAATCTGCCAGCAGCCATCAGGTCCCTTTTGTGCCCATTAAACAACATTTCTCTCTATAATCACCAGCTGTGTTCAGGTCTTTCCAAACAACAGAACAGCTGGAGCCAATGCTTTCACATAGTGCAAAAAAAGAAGCAGGGGAGACTGGCATAAGGGACAAGGATATATCTGCAGGGGAAAATGAATGTTTAAGAAAAAAATATACAAAAACTATATCATCCCAGTTGATGAAGTTTTGTATGCATTTATGTTGTCAAGCTCATGAACTTGAAAAGAGATGCAAACTTTGTTACAGATATAATAGCAGAGGTGTTTTTTTAAAACCTCCAAAACCACAGTGAGGATTTTCTCAAAGTCCTGCAAAGCCATTCTTTATGAACCCAACATCAGGAGTTTCCTGTTACACAGTTACAAAAGCAGTGAGGATTTTTAAGGGTTCTGCTTGTCACACCACCAGGACTCAGTGAATTGTCTGAGACATGTTTTGCAGCTGTCAGATATCTGTATCTCTATGACACAGCACAAAACAGAGAAGAGCTGTCCATAAGAGAGATCTACAACTGTATTCACCTGAGAACAAGAGAGGGCATGTGAACAGAAAGAGAAATATTCCAAAACATGTCACTGGAAAAGACAGCAAAGGATATTGACCCTTTCTGTAGTCTCACTAAGGATGTCAGCATGTTATCAAAGCTTAAGGAACAGAAACAGTCCTGACGTACTCCCAAGATATTTCTATGCTTTTGTTACCCATCATGAACACACTTATCTAAAACCACAATGAATGGGAACATGCATACATGTGTCACACATCAAACTTTACCTGAACAGGTTTCCTGGGGGGTTGTAAAGACTTTCTTGAAAATTCTTTGGTACAGGTGGCAAGGTGCTTCTATCTGGACAGTCAATAAACCTCATTATCAAGATACTGGGTAAGCAAAAAAAAAAACTCATCACAGAAACATCAAAATATGAAAGATGGTACTGACTCAGAGACACTGCATTGGCAAAACTACCTTGGGCTGATTCCAGGGGATACACAAGAGGTATTTTACCCAGTTCCATCTATACACAGCGCAGCATACTCAAGAGGAGGAACAGAGAGCACTGACTGTAACACTTGCCCACTGAATGGAATCAGACCTCTGATAATCAGACACTTGTTCTGTTCATTGGCTACAGGAGAAAAAGTAAACAAATATGTGAAACCCAAATAACAGAAAAGGTAAAACCAATATGAGAAACACCAGGAACAGAGAAGACAAAAATGTTGAAGTTCTGACCTTGACCAGTGTGTCTCTCACCATGGGCTGTATGTTCTAATGAATGGAAAGTGACTCTGCAGTCACAAGTCCCAGACCTTCATCAGACACTCAGATTCTCTGGTTTCCAGGATATTGCTGTTTTAATCAGTTTGCACTGCAAAGCTGCATGGCCAGTTGTGAGCCCTTGCTAGCACTCACAACGAGGTGCCAGAATGATCAACCATGTGAAGGAACTCTACAGTTGCACAAAGCCTCTGAGTAGGAATGACAAAGAGCACACTCAGCTTTCAGCTCCTTATCTAAGGTGCAAGAGGGACACGGGTCAAAAAGAGCACTGCACAGTACAGAATGTGTCCAGCTTTGGACTGCTGGCTTCATGGAAGTAAGATGAAGGTTTTCTATATCCCAGCCAAAAGCAGCACACAAGGCCAAGACTGCAGCTAGGTTTGATCATAATTGCTGCTGCTGGTTCTCCATCCTACAAACAGACCACAGATTATTAATGACACAGATGGTTAATGACAAACACCTAGACTATTCTGGAGAATGGATGCTGATCTCAGAAGCACAAAGACTTTCTTCCTTGCTGATTTGGAGAAATGTGGGGTATAACATAAAACTGATCCTTCAAAGACTTTTCTGTGAGCAGCTTTGATCTCCTGCATAGAGGTCTACCACATACATTAATAGGTGCATTCACAAATACTAGCAGTTATCAAACACCAAAAACCCCAAAACATTTAAATGTAGCAAGAAGGAAAAAAAAGAAAAAAAAACCTCTATTTGAATCTGAATCTTTCAGTTGGTCTGCAGTGCCTTGGTTTTGGACCACAAAGACACTAAGACACCACTAAGACAGAAGTCAGTGCAGTAAATACATTGGGGTTTGTTTGGGTCACAAAGTGAAGGTTCAGCCACATTTTTTCCAGACCAAGGGAATTCAGCAGAGTGCTGAAACCATAAGAAAAGGGGACTGAAGCCAACAGGTTGTTATCCTGAAGCCAGGGGTAATCTCCCCGTGTTCCTGTGCCCCTGTGGCAGCAGGGTCCCTGGCTGCTGCTCCCCTCCAGGCAGGAGGTGCCTCTTGGCCTCTTTGCTCAGTTGTCCTACAGGTAACAGCGGCAGGTGTTCTCCAGCAAAGCTTTAGTAAATTATTAATTTCCTCTGGCTTCAGTTTTCTACCTTCGGACACCTTGATAGCTTAAATAAGTACATCCCAAAGCTCCCTGGAGAGAGGAGAGAGGCTGGAGGGAAGCAGGCTTCTGCCTGTCTGACAGCTTTGCAAACGTTCCCCTGGTTTTCCTGCCTGTAGTAAGGGTGGGGGATGAAGAAGGAGAAAGAGATGAAGTTGTCCTTTGACATTTTACATCCACGCCTTACTGAGATAACCTTTACGGATAATTTTTCCCAGCAGGTGTTAGATATTTCTTGTGAGCATTTAACAGTGAAACATCATTAAGTAATGACTGGCAATAGAAATTTGTTACAAATTTTTTTGGAGGGGTGGAACCAAGACAAATTAACCTTAGGATTTTAAATATGAAGACAAGTTCTCTTTGTACTAATCCTATTAGTGTGGATGTCCTTACTAGCATACTTGAAAGCAGATTCACTTTGGCTGAACTTACTGTAATGCATTCAAGATGCCCTTTCTCCAACTTTTAAAGAGAAGCAACTGCAAGCAATTACAACTAAAAATATTTTAAGGGTATTGAAACCATTCCTTCCTATTTCAAATATGTTTTTCCAGCAAGATTAAATGATTTTTTTTATTTTTTAAAAAATTCCAATAAAATAATAGAGCTAATTTCATAAATTCTAGCATCATGAAGAACAAATATAACCTCTTTATTTTAACTGTTTACTTGTTGATCTCGGAACATTTCCGACTCAAAAAGTGTGGCTGAAC